TAAAACAAGAGCCTTATTCCCTCCAAATTCACCTATATGTTGTAACATTCAGTGAAAAAATTTATTGTTTTTATGTATACATTGATTGGTTAAACTGTTGTTGTAGGATTTAGTTTGTAGTTTTTACTGATGTATTTGTATGTTATTTTGTTGTAGGAAGATATTATAATTTTTAAAACATTTTAATAATTGATTTAACAAAAAAAAAGAGTAAAACGTGAACAAAAAAAAGACTAGATGATGTACGTTAATAGAAATATAAACTTGTATTAGCTGTAAAATATTAAAGTATCTTGTTTAGAATGTGTGTGTTTTATTAAATTATACTATAAATTTTGTGACTAAAATTATAATTTAAAATCAGATTTTATGGATATTTTATTTTAAAAAAATTATTTAGATAGCAACAATTAAAAAAGATTCACAAAAATAAGAGATCTAGCAATTTTATACTATAAACAAGATTTTGGACCCGCGCATCCACGCTGGTGTAAGTTCTAAATATTTATATGTTTAATAATTATTTGACAGTTTCATATTTTTGAGTTTTGAGATTGATGTATTTTGTTCAGTTTTTTAGTGTCCAATTATAAAGTATGTTGTTGTACAACTTTTCATTTTATTTGCTAATAAAAACATTAAAGTATTAAAATATTATATTATTAAGATAATGTTGTGGGTGTTTTATTATATTATACTGAATATTTTTATTTCAACATAGTTTCAGTCAGATTATAAATATAGAATTTTAAACCGTAATAATAAAAAGTTATGGAAAGGTACCTAAAAAAAGTATCTATATATATATATATATATATATATATATATATATATATATAGTTCTTGTGAAAAATTTAGGAAGTCCATCGATTAGTAAATTGGACCAGTTCATTTAGAATTGGATCATCATATTTTTAAAATAAAAAAGTGGACATTCATCAATTATCAAATTCCATAAAAAAAATTTTCCGCGAACAAACATAATTTTTCTTTTGCCTCGGCCGTATTTTCCGATTCAAACTGAAAGGAACTATTTCTCTTTCAAGATATTTGTTGGTTACGTTCGTCTGTTTTCTGTCGTGATCTATGAAACGGCTGGGAAATTATCACGGGAAGAATGATTAAAGATAGATCTATTAATTACTACTGATGATTTTTGCATTCAGATTCGAGATTCTCGATTTAGGTTTATTTTTTTTATTTACTAAAGAGTTACCTGAAATCTATATTATGTGTTATAACTTTCTTAAACATCATCTAAGGCGTTGAAAACCAAGACTATCTATCGGGTAGATAGATCCAATCCCCCTTTAATCATGAAGTAGAAACCTCGTGCAAATTATAACTCGGTGAAGGATTTGTAGAAGCTCTGTTCCAGATCCGGTTGCAAATGTTAATGTTCAAGAGTTTGTTTTGATTATAGATCTTTCTTTCTTGGCCAAGGTAATTTTCGTTTTAATCTATGTGTTTTCGCTTTTTATGATTCGCTATAATATAGGAATTAATTGTGGGAGGTCAATTATTTTAAGAAATTCATAAATATTTAAGTTATGATTTCGAACCAAATACATGCTATTGGTTTACTCGTATTGATCGTAAATTTGGAAATCATGATATAAAATATGATTGAAAGAATCATATTGTTAAGATTTATTTACCACAGCTACATATCTAATTTGATGGTTTTGATTTTACAGACTATTGAAAACCGGAAGAGTTACATCCTGGGAATTCGAGGTAGACGAAGAGGAATGAAGGTAATATCACATATTTTAAACGGTTTTTGGTTTAGTAATGGTTTATAACTGAATGATTTAGTAATATGACAACACATTGTGTTCTAGAGATTAGAAAGTACAATATGTAGGGAACCAATGATTAAGTGGTTTAGATTTGGTTTATTAATAAGAGAATAAGTGGTTTACTGATGATTTATTATTAAGATAAGAACTGGTTTAGTGATGGTTTAATTGTTAGAGAATAAAAAGGTTTACCGATGGTTTAATAATTAAGAGAATTGATGGTTTAGAAATTTAAATCAAAACCGTGTGCTGGTTTATAAATTAGAAGAATCAATGGTGTTGGTACAAATTTAAATCAAAACTTTGTGTTTTAAAATAAGTGGCATAAATATGTATTTTTTGTGGAAAATACATGGCTAAATACAAAATGTACCTCCCTTTTAATAGATTAAGATTAGCCCCACTCCTTTATAAGCCATGTAGACATTGAATCAGTGATTTACACTTTTTACTGAATACGGCCGAGTTTTATTAGGCCCAATAAAATCTAGACTTTTAAAATCCTAGTTATTTTAAAAAAGTAACAAAAGTAATAAAACGTCACGTCCGCACGAATGTTTGTTTATAATTAGTTTATAAGTAAACATTTTTTCTATAATTGGTAGTATATAATGAGTAATTTTAATTTATTTTTGAACTGTAAATTTGTTATTAGCACATTTTTTTATAATATGATCCGTGTTATCTTGCAAAAGCATTTTATTTTTATAATAACTAAATCGATATTGAATGCGTAGTTAGCACAAAAATTTTAAACATTTATTACAGATATTTTCTTCTAAATAATTACTGCATGTAATAAGTTATATATTAAGCCGTATTAAATAAAAATATGTTCATTTCTATTGAATTATATATAACTTTATGGTGGACTCTATAATATATATTATTAAAAGTGAAGTACCCATATAATATACCCCTGAGTTTTTCTAATTATTTACAATGTTATACCACTGAAGTTATTAATTACCCTACCTTATAGGATTCTTTGTCTTTTACTTTAATTAATGCATTTCCAAAATCAAATTTTAACTAAAAAAAATATTGGCAACAATAATTAATGAAAATAATTATTTTCATATATAACTTTCATAATTAAATAAATAAATTATATAGAAATTGTTTTACTAATTTCATATACATAATAATTAATTTCAATATTAATTAACCTACCTTTTAGGATTTTTTTTCTTATTAATTATCTACATATCTTTAAATAGTTAATGAACAATATTTTTTTCAAAGATATATAATTATATATTTATTATTTATAAGTAATAACTAAAATAAAAGTCACAAAAAGAAACATTTATATAATATATAATAAAAAGAATAATATAAACATATCATGTTATGTATATTTTTATATAAATAATAGTTCAAGGTAAATTCAGAATAATAAAAGTTAAAAAAGTAGAAATATATAGGACCATATATTTTAAATAGTTAATAAAACAATTTAGTTATACATTATCATAAAATTTTGATCCATAAAAATAAAATAAAAAACATTTGTGCAGATATACGAGTCATATTTTAAAAATAAGTATGACACAATGATAGTTTATAAGATAAAATAAAATTACTCAATATAAACTATAAAATTGTGTGTTTAAAATGTCATTTAAACAGTTATTTAAACGGGTAAATTTAGAAATATATAAAATATATAAAAACAAACACTTGCGCGGATCAAACAGCAAACTTTTCGGTATTCTTCTATCAAAATTAAACCCATAAGTAATTTTTAACCATTTAATTGATACTTCATTTTTTATTTTACATCATTTAGTATAAACCTAAAAATTAAAAGAAAACAAAACACCCGCCCGGTCGGGCGGGTTATGGTCTAGTAATCTATTATACTAAATCCACGTCGATATGATATAATAGTAACACACAATCTAAAATATTATTTTGTTTAAAATTTTAACTAAATCTTATCTTTTGAAAATAAATGCTATTCAATTTTAACTATTTGTTATAATGGCTTGCGTAGGATATGGAAACTATTTCTGAAAGGCATCTTTAAGTAATTTACGGTAATAGAAATACGTTGATATAAGTGGCATGCTTTGTAATATTTGAGAAAAATTAATTGGTTAAATAAAACAATTGAATTTAGGTGGTTGGGTTTTAGTGTTAGCATTGGTTTAAATTAATGGCAATCTCTTGTAATTATTTAGGAAAATTACGGGGTATTTTCTATTTGTACTATTTTTTAATAGAGTAGATTTTGTGATTGAAATTATAATTTAAAATTATATTTTATAGATATTTTTTTAAATAAATTATTTAGAGAGCAAAATTTTTAATAAGATTCACAAAAAAATAGAGCTCTAGCAATTTTGTTAACAAAGACTATTTTTAAAATTGAATTGGACAATTTTGTATAATCCGAACCGAACCAAAATCCGAAGTAGGATCCGAAGGTATCCGAAATTAGTTAAATATGCTAATATTTTTATATATGTTAAGGTAATTTAGATAGTTTATAATATTCTAAATATTTTCATAGTCTATGTTATATGTTATTTTGAATATATCTTAGCTAATTTAGATAGTTTAACTAATTTTTAATTATACTTATGAATAATTTACATATTTTGAATACTATTTTGTCATATTTTTACGTTTTAAAAAAATATTTTTAGACGATTTCAGACATTGGTTATAATCCAATCCGAACCGAATCCAGAAGGAACCGAACTGAACCCGATCCGATTATTAGCAAAAACCGAATGGTACTTATGAGCACAGTACCGAAAATCCGAATCAACCGAACCGAAACCTATTGGGCCACCGAACCCCCAGGCCTACCCAAGAATCTTCACTTCTGAATTAAGAAAACCATTATTTAGGTCTAGTTACAAATTAATGTGATTAATTTATAACAGTTCACTAATTTTGATTTTAAAATCCATATAAATTATTCTTCAATCCACTTGTTTAATTTAAAAATCAGTGAATTTATCAAAGAGAAATCTAAAAAGGATTTATAAATCCATTAAAATACTTGAACCAGTAGCTCCCACTTATATATATGCTGTCCGGAAAAATTAAATAAAAACAAAGGCCTACAAGCATAGAAAAGGTCAGCAATCTATCTGTAAATGACACAAGGCCCACAAAACGCGTAAATAGGCCCATTAGTTAAATGAAAGGCTGAGTCAGCTCAGCTCCGCCTCCAAAATCGCACTGACACTGACCGTACAACTTTCTTTCTTTCTATCTTCGTCAAGAATCTTTATACCGAATCAAATAATATTCCGGCGAGAAACACAACAATGGACAACTCAGCTCCAGATTCTCTCCCTAGATCCGAAACCGCCGTCACCTACGACTCCCCCTACCCTCTCTACGCGATGTCCTTCTCCTCCTCCTCCACCCACCGCATCGCCGTCGGAAGCTTCCTCGAAGACTACAACAACCGCATCGACATCCTCTCCTTCGATCCCGACTCCTTAACCGTCAACCCCCTCCGCAGCCTCTCCTTCGACCACCCTTACCCTCCCACCAAGCTAATGTTCAGCCCCCCCTCCCTCCTCCGCCGCTCCGGCGACCTCCTCGCCTCCTCCGGCGACTTCCTCCGCCTCTGGGAGATCAACGAGGACTCCCCCGTCTCCGAGCCCCTCTCGATCCTCAACAACAGCAAGACGAGCGAGTTCTGCGCGCCGTTGACCTCCTTCGACTGGAACGACGTCGAGCCGAAGCGGTTAGGCACGTGCAGCATCGACACCACGTGCACGATCTGGGACGTTGAGAAGTCCGTCGTCGAGACGCAGCTCATCGCGCACGACAAAGAGGTCCACGACATCGCCTGGGGTGAGGCTAGGGTTTTCGCCTCCGTCTCGGCCGACGGATCCGTTAGGATATTCGATCTGCGCGATAAGGAGCATTCGACGATCATCTACGAGAGTCCTCAGCCCGATACGCCTCTTTTAAGGCTCGCGTGGAACAAGCAGGATTTGAGGTATATGGCGACGATTCTGATGGATTCGAATAAGGTTGTGATTCTTGACATTCGGTCGCCGACGATGCCTGTTGCTGAGCTGGAACGGCACGAGGGGAGTGTGAATGCGATTGCGTGGGCGCCGCAGAGTTGTAAGCATTTATGCTCGGGTGGGGATGACACGCAGGCGCTTATTTGGGAGTTGCCGACGGTTGCTGGACCTAATGGGATTGATCCGATGTCGGTTTACTCGGCCGGTTCGGAGATTAATCAGTTGCAGTGGTCTTCTGCGTTGCCTGATTGGATTGGGATTGCTTTTGCTAATAAAATGCAGCTACTTAGGGTTTGAGGTTTGTGTGAACTGAATGATGATGTTTCACTTGTTTATTGACTAGGTAGTGTTCTTGTAGCTAAAGATGGAGTGTTTATTTTGTTGCTCATATGTGATGATGTATTGAAGAGATCTTACTTGCTAGCAAATGATCTTACTTGCTTGCTGCCACTAGGGTTTTAGGTGGAGTTTGGTTTTTGATGAAATGAAACCAGTTTCTTTGTTATTCAAGAGAAGTTGATTTAATGGCTGTAGTTGTGCTTTTATCAACTCATTGGATTTGCTAACCAGTTTCACTTGATGTCAGATGGAGATGGGAAGTGATCAGAATCGGAGATAGCATAGACCCTTGTTCCCAGTAAGGTGCGTAAGATTAGTACGGTTTGGTTGGTGCATGAGCACTATGGTTTCTTTGATCCGCAATGCCTTTCTGCATCTATCTTATTGTAACTAAAGACTTAATTCATTTGATCTACCAAATTGCCGACTGCTTTATCCCTATTTGTGTATAAACCCCAATATTATTGCGGTATCTGATGTTTAGATTTGTAATTGGGAGCTTTAGTACAACGCACCCTATCTTATTTTGTTTGAATGTTTTGTGTAGAGTAAAGTGGCCTCTACTAGTCATGGGTCTGACAGATGATAGTGCACACCATTTGAAAGTACATATTTGAATACAAAGATATTTATAAAAGTGAGACATTTAAGGTTTGTAAAATTTATTCACAAAATTAGTCATATAAGAAATTAAGGGTCTTACCAAATACCAGTCCATGACTTTTATCCAAATTCACAACAACATTAGAAGAATTCTTGTAAACATTGTCAGATTTGAATAGATGTGATAAGGAACGAAAGAAAGTGAAAATAATACTCCCTCCATTTTGAAATAGTTGACGTCGTAGGAGATGACACAAATTAAGAAGCTAATCTATTGTTTATTTTGTCCTTCTTTATCATTGTTTTAATATTTAATTTATTCTAAACAAAGGTAAAAACCTCTAGAATTAGAGAAACTATGTGTAATATACATAATAAAAAAAATTAAGCATATAACCATAATAATTTGTAGGCTATGATATTTTGTATAATTTTATAAAATATTCTAACAATACCTTCATCTACGCGTATAAGGTTGAAAGCTGTCTTTTTATCTTTAACCTAGAAACTGATTTTTTTTTTTTTTTTTTTTATCATTGTACGAAGGAGTCAAGAGAAACTTCTATTTTCTAGGTAACACGATCTATTACAAAGCCCAAACAAAAGAATTAGGGTAATTCGAAGATGATTTTATTTGATGGGAAACATAACATAAACTTTGGAACCATGATCCTCTGTATTTTGGACTATTATATCAGATCCGGTTGGTTAAAGGTTATCGGCAGGGCGACGAAAAAAGTAATGTGATTAAAACTTATAGTTAAACTTTAGTTTTGTAACTTAATTTAAGTTTTTTCTATTTTGGTTTTGAATTTGTGACATAGCCATGTATGTGTCTGTGTTTATGTTTTCTTACAAAATTTTATGGGTTTTTAGGTAGGGGAAAAATGATTTATCCTATATTATAAGAGAAACATAAATAGTATAGTTACGTGTTGTATTTTAAATTTTGCTTGGGCTGACTATACATTTATAATGAGAAATCGTAATTTGTTTTGGCCCTAAGATTTTGCCTTCTTTCTCGCTGCAATCTCTAGATTTTTTGAAGATTTAGTTGGTTCTGGAAATTAGGATCCACGACTTGATCATAATTCTTAATTTTCATGAGTCATTAAAATGCACTGTTGTATTAATTAACAGACGATTGTATAATTAGGTGACTTCGAGATATTTAAAAATGTTGAGTTAACATAAGTTTACGATTAATTTGGATTTAAAAAAAATTATTATTATCTATTAATTAAAGTTGAAGTCTTTTGGCTTATTTTTTTAAGTTTGGAATTTAAATGTTAAATTTGTATTTGAAGTAATTATAAAAGGAGAGACCTGAGTAATGAAATCTTTTGTATAGTTCAAACCATTTTTCTAAATACATAATAAGATGGGTCTGATATATAATTGACCCTATGTTATTAACGCTGACACTAAATTGCAAAACCTGAACAACATCAGTCTAACAATATTTGTTCTTACATAGGTCAGGTAGATTAGTTTGCAGATCTTTTATCGACCATAATATCGATATCCCTTCATCTACACATATTAGAATCATCGGTCTCGTTTGACCAAAAAAAAAAGAATCATCGGTCTCAATTAATGTTTAGCACTTGATTTGATATGTAGCTTGTCGGTCTCAAGTGATGTTTAAATCACATTAATATCTTATTAGTTTATAAATTGACAAGACAATAGCCACATGATACACGACTTGAAAATATCTCAAGTAGCCTAAAAAGAAAAAAAAAGAGAAAAAGATCCTACAGACTGTAAAGAAACAAAGAAAGAAATATCAAAGTTCAGTTGACCACACAAAAAAGGAGAGGACGAAAAGTATGGAACAGACAAAAAATATCTGTTTGAAAAAGGATGGGGGCCATGTTCGTTTAAGTTAGGCCCAAAACTATCCTTAGATTTCTTCTATTCCTCAAAACCAAAAGTCATCACTCCATCCACTACTACACTCGCGTGCGCTATCATCCAAACAAAGTCGCAATACTTTATAAAATGGTTTTAAACCATACTGAAACAGCATTTAACCAACTGATTACTGACGTATTTTATGTATTTATTATTTTGCCATCCACCGCCAGGTAATACAAACATCTATATTTAAAACGGAGGGAGTATTTAACTGAGGCCAGATAATTCGAAAGTAAGAATTTTCAGGAAAACATCATATTAATAAATTGGATTAAATATTAAAATTACTCGGCGCGTGAAGTGACAGGACAATTAGATATTTTATTGATTCTGATAACTACCATCAAAGGTGGTTGTGTAGATTACCACCATACACGTGTCGTATCCTTGTCCACCAGAACCACCGGTTTTAAACAAGTGTCTCGTTCTTCTGTCACTGCCTTATCCCTCCAAAAATATCTAGCCCCGGAAATAACTTTAAAATTCTTTAGTGGGTCCCTACCTTGACACGTGTTGGTTGTTAGATGGTCAGCACTGCAACAACAGAGAAAAAACCAAAATGCTGATAAATTTCGGTAACCCATGATCGATAATTTAATTTAAAATTAATGTGTCTATAATATATATTTTAATTTGGCATTATTGATCATTGGTATTTGGTTCGTTAATTCTTAGAAAAGTCTGGCGTATGTTAAACAGAAAAAAACGTCTAGTGTAGTTATTGAGTTTTTCTCAAGAGATCAAAATATCAAATATTATTCAAATAAAAATATTGTTACCGAAATATATCAGAAATATTTTAAAAAGAAAATAGTATAGTTCTTTTTGGATAAGTTGTGATGTTGTATAGATACTTGTGTTGCCCACTTGCATTAGATATTTTTCGCTCGATTTTGTCCCAAAAGTCACGAGTGGGACTTATTTTATAGGCCTGCTTGCTCCTTAAAGTGTTCGCTCGCTAAAATACCACTAATTGTTTGGTAATTACAAACACTTTTGTTAGGTTAAACATAAGCAAATATGATAGGTAGCTTCACAGTTTAAAAAAAAACAATGTAATAGCTTCAAAGTCTAATAATCTACGACGCTGTTGAAATAAGCAATTCCCTAATACATTTCCATACGTTACCAAAACATACGACACGATAATATTTAATAAGGAATTTGGAATAAGCATATAAGTTTATAACCCAACTTTACATATGAACCACAGAGTAATCAACGCCTCCGCCACCACAAAAATAAAATAAAATAAAATAAAGAAAAGGTTGTTTGGCGTATTGGATCTCTTTGTCTCTCCTTACAGTATTTGCTGATGTGGCAAACGTGGCCACGTCAGCCAATTCCTAGATATTTTCCCAAACCTTTTTTCACTAGTATCTTAACCGTTGGATCACGGTCGGTTGGCCTCGGGATTCGAATCTCAGCCGTTGGAACATTCGCCAGATTTCAAGATATTTTTCTTTTTCCTCGGCAATATAGAGAATAAGATTTTTTCTTCCACTCACAATATCTTTTGTTTCTTCAAACTGCTTCTTCTGGAACTTTCATCGTATTTGGATTGTTTCAGCGAGAGTGTTGCGAGATGAGAGAAGTGAGCGACGAAGTTGTTGAGGTGACGGTGGTTGAGAAAGGAGCTGAGCGGCGGAAGATGCGGCGGAAGGACGCCGGTGAGGGCGGAGATGGTCTGGTGACGTGGGAGAGGTTTCTCCCGAAAATCTCGCTTAGGGTTTTGCTCGTGGAAGCAGATGATTCCACCAGACAGATTATCTCTGCTCTCCTCAGGAAATGCAGTTACAGAGGTCAGTTCTAAGACATTCCCTTGTTGTTTTGGGCTCTAGTTTGTCGGAATTTAGATTGGTCTGAAGGAAATATATGTTGTTGTCTGAAAAATCTAGTGAGTTGGTAATGATGTGAATTTGATGTGTCTGAATTCTTTTAGCATGTGAAAGACTTTTTCTTTTAATCTCTGCTTATAGTTCAAATGGTTTAATGTGGTTTATCTTGTGACTTTGTCAGTTGCTGCTGTACCTGATGGCTTGAAAGCTTGGGAGATGCTTAGAGGGAAGCCTGAGAGCGTTGATTTGATATTAACAGAGGTTGATCTGCCTTCAATCTCTGGATACGCTCTTCTAACACTTATCATGGAGCATGATATCTGCAAGAACATTCCTGTCATAAGTATGTGAACTCTTTTGCTTGTTCTTCTTTTTGATTTCCATCGTTTATGAAATGATTTTAGGCTCATTATTATTATTTTTCTCTCACAGTGATGTCGACACAGGACTCAGTTAATACTGTTTATAAGTGCATGTTGAAAGGTGCGGCTGACTATCTTGTCAAGCCTTTGAGGAGGAATGAGTTGAGAAATCTTTGGCAACATGTCTGGAGAAGACAAACTGTATGTGTCTTGCTATATTTTTCTAATCCTTTCGTGTCCCTAACTTAAACCATTCTTATTTAAGTTACTGGGAAATTTCGTTGTCTATTAAAAGATAATTGAGTTCTCAGATTTCTTTGTTTTTCTTTCTTGATCATCTTTTGCAGTCACTTGCTCCTGGTGGTAACTTTCCAGTAGATGAAGGTGTTGGACAGGAGAAACCTGATGGTGCGTCTGCGAACAACTCAACAAGTAACCACGTGAATGCACCCCAGAGAGAGGAACGTCCTGTAATTGAGAATGGTGGTGGTGATGATCAGGTTAGATTCTTATTCTCAGTGGTGTATTCTCTTCACCTGTGTATTTGATTGTGTTCCTAACTTTTTTAGTTCTTTGTAGAGCTCTTGTTCAAGACCAGAGATGCAAGGTGAGAGCGCAGACGTGGAGGATATCCCATCAAAAGAGGCCATTGACTTCATGGGAGCGTCATTTAGAAGAAACGGACAATGTAACAGAGAAGAAAGTGTTGCTAAATACGATTGTTCTCGGATAGAGCTTGATCTCTCCTTGAGAAGACCTGACACTTGTGAGAACCAACCTTCTCTTAATCCTTCAAGTGCCTCAGCTTTCACACGGTACGTTCACAGGCCGTTGCAGACACAATGTTCAGTCTCTCCCTTGGTTACCGACCAAAGAAAGAATGTTGCGGCAAGTGAAGATGATAATAATATTGTGCTAATGAACCAATACAATGTGTCTGAACCGCCTCCAAGTGCTCAGAGAAGAAACGAGGCTAGCTTTTACAATAGCTCTGACTCGCCTGGTCCACCTTTTAGCAACCAGATGAATTCTTGGCCAGGACAGGGCTCTTACCCAACGCCAGTTCCTGTTATACAGTTCCCTGGTCCTAACGCAGCTGTCATGGCTCCTGCTTCAGTGTCTCCAAGCCCTAGCTCCGTTAGCCCGCATGAGTACAGTTCCATGTTTCACCCATTCAATGGTAAACCCGAGGGGGTGCAAGAGCGGGATGGTTCCATGGATCTAGAGGAGAGGAGACACGTCTCTTCTGCGACAGAACATAGTACCAACTACATTGATTATCATCATCATCAGCAGCAGCTTCTGGAGAAGAAGAACGAAGAAGGATACTCATCCTCTGTTGGGAAACTTCAGCAATCTCTTCAACGGGAAGCCGCTTTAAACAAGTTCAGGATGAAACGCAAGGAGAGATGCTTTGAGAAAAAGGTATAAAACTTTGATGCTGAAACACATGATGAAGACATAACTGCTTTGTAAAGAAGAATGATTCTAACCTTTGTTAATGACTTTTGCACACAGGTCCGTTATGAGAGCCGGAAGAAATTAGCAGAGCAAAGGCCTCGAATCAAAGGGCAATTCGTTCGTCAAGTCCAGTCCAATGAGACCTCAACACAAGAAGCTCCACAATGATCCAAACAAATTGATGATGTTATTTGTTATATATAGAGTTAGATTTTGTTTATACAGGAACTGTTGTGCTAACTCTCTCTACGTACGTAGTTGGGTGACACTGTTTCAGGCTTTGTTGTTGAGTTTTAGTTAGTATCTACTTTAGATATGTACACATGATGGATATTAGTTTCTGTAACTTGAGAGAGGAGTTATATAAGATTGACAAAAACTCTATTATAAAAGTCTGAACACAAAACAATGAAACCGAAAAAGAAAGATAAAGCTATAATGGGATTCGGAACTTAAGAGAATAGTGGTGTAAAAAAAATTGAAAAACTTGTGAGAATAGTCACGACATAGAACAAACTGATAAGCCCATGAGAGCGTATTTCCGTAAGAGAAAGAAGGTAGGAGGGCAAGAGGGAAGAAGAGAAGAGTTGGGAACAGAGGAAGCTGGTGATGACGTGGCAAATGAAGCGAGTGATGAAAGAGTTTTGAGTATAAATAGTTAATTGTTTGTAGCAGAAAAACGATCTTTGGGATCATTGTAATTTGGGTTGTAGAGTAATTTCTCTCAAGAGGCAGTTTCAAGAGCTTGTTCTTGATTCTGAGGATCGTTTTACATTCGGGATTCTGATCCTTCTTTGTTAATCATATAAACAACACAAACAAATCCAAGCGAAGAAGATGAACTATACTGGAGAGAATCAATTTATACTGTTATATAAATATATTGTGAGAAATGTGTATATTATATGTACGCATATGTATCTCTCTCTACATGGTTCAAATCATTCATGTGACTGATAAATCACTTAAAAACAACTCAACCTTTATAGAACTGTAAAAGCTGAAGATTATCATTCAAAAAGTCTGAGCACAAAACAAGAAAGACACAGCTACAGTAAAGACTATATAACTTGTGAGAAAAGTAAGCCAAGTTATACATAGAACAAACCAAACAAGAGAATATATGTGCCTGCTCACATATGAATATATAATCAAAACGTGTATATGTAAGTATCTCTCTCTACATTGCTCTTGATCATTATTCATGCGAGACTGATGAATCACTCTAAGCTCGAATCGAATCGGGACTAACCCATTTCCAATGATGCCGCTTCACGGTCACAGCTTTCCCCTCAGCTCGTGCTTCCTCATACTCATTCTCATCCGTACAAAAATCTTCCTCCGGTAATCCCTCCACAATCGCATCCACCGAGTGCAAAACGTAACACGCAGGTAACCCCGGATACGACAACGAACTCTTTTCCTCAACTCTCCTACTATAACTCCCCGGAACAATCTTAACCCTCTCTACGACGTCGTCTCCCGCATCAAAGATAGATCCAAGCTCTTCTTTAACCGCGCGAATAACCGCTTGATCAGGACTCTCGTCAGGCTTCATCTTCTCCGACAAAGGACGATTCCTCTCGCGAACGCTCCCATCTGATAACTCCTGGCGCCCTTCCACGAGGATACTCCCGTCTCTTCCCATCACACGAACGGTCACGACGTTGACGGTGCGTAACGGAGGTGTGGAGTCGGTTATAGAAGTCTCCCCGTCGGAGAGCTCGATCCAGAGGTTGTGTACGTTTTTGGTTCCAGGTTTGACTCCCCAGGCGGCGAACGAGTCGGGAGGTAGACGCGGTTGGAGCCAATCGGAGAGTGATTGAGGATTAGCGAATCGCTGAGGCGGAGGAGGAGATCGGCGGGACATGGCGGTGGATCTACGGCGAGGAGTTAGAGGGAAGGAGAATCTGTTGGGAGGTTTTGGAGAAGAGGAGAGGAGGAGGAGAGAGATCGCTGCGAGAAGGAGATCGGGGAGGGCGGAGGAGACGGTTGCGTTGCGAGGACTGTGGTTGTTACGGCGGTTGTTGAGTAGATGCGTGTGTGGCGGAGATGGGCCAATGAACATGTCAATGACCAAAATGTCCTCCGAATTCTCTCAAATCTATTTTTTTTTTGTCAGCTCCGAATTCTCTCAATTTTGGCAACTCATACCTCAGAGAGGGTATAATCAATTTGTTTGGTTTGTTTTTGTTGTTTTCTTTTGAGTGAATTGAGTAGAAATCCATAAGAAAATAGGAAATTAGGGATTTGCCATTTTTGGTGGGGAAAATAATAATGTGTGGGGAGGAGAGATAAAGGAAGAAATAGGGTATAGAGTGAATTATGAGGTTTAGTGTGTGTATGAAGTGCAAATACTCTTTTTTTTTTTGGTTTATTTTAGATTTTTTACGACCTGGGAAATTAATATGATCTGGACTAGACATTTTATCCGTTAAATTTGATTTGATCCGGTATTCGTTTCGATTCGATCCAAAAATCTCGGATATTCATAAAATTTTGGGAAGTGGATATTCGATCCGTCAATATATAAATAAAAGTTTTAAATGTATAAAATTATATAATTTTTATTTTAACAAATGATTTGAAAAAAATTATTCATATTATTACTAATATAAAAGTATTAAATAAAAAGAAGGGAAAATATTTATGTCAGTTATATTTTTTTTCTTAAGGTTTGTGTTATTATAATTGTCAACTAAATTTATTTATTTTTACAAAATATGTAGATTCACTAATTTTTTTAATTTTTATCTTATATATCATGCAAAAATATATTTTATAAAACAAATTTGTATCGATTTTTAATATTATTTGTACTAATCAAAACATATGAGATATTCGTAAATATCCCCAAATATCTATTTAGTTTCCGGATATCCGTTTTTCGAATATCCATATTTTTCGAAGCAAAACAAATCGAAAAATTAGATATCTGTAATATACGAAGCAAATCACAAATACTTTCAAAACTCCAGATATCCGATATGTGTCCATACCTAATGAGGAAGAGATAGTAAATTAGACGATACTATCATCTATTTATAGTATTAAAACTAAAGTACAGATTTAAACTAACCTATAAACTAACTATTTAGTTATACAAAATGCCACTGAGAATTTGATTAGTTGTAACTTTCATCATTTATTATCTTTTTCAAATTTAAAACCTCTTAGCTAAAATCAATTTTATAACTATTTATTATAAATAAGAAACTTCTTTTCTGCAGCAATATATATTTTTACTTAACTATTAGGTTTATGTTTTCAATTTAGTTTCAACAAAGCATGTCTAGTATTAATTAGATTTGCTTAGGTTCATTGACTGAAAAAAATTATCAAACTCAAAAAAATAACTTAGTTTAGTACACACCTTTTTAGCCCATTTTAGTTTATTTACTAGTATTACTGGATCTAGTCAAATATACTTATATAATTCTCATCATGCATTCATATAATTAATTAAATAAAACAATAAAATTATAATTAATAATTTATAGCATACTAACTACATTTTATCCATTCATTTTGATCTATAGTTCAGTAAAATTTGTTTTATCATCTACGTAAAAATTAATAACAATTTTTTTTTCTATATTCTTCATGATTTAAAGCACTAATAACATGTAAAAAATTCTAAGCACTAAATCTTAAACGCTATAATGCTATTTTGAAATTTTTGTTCATTTACTAAATTTATAACATTATAGTGCTTAAAATAAGGCAGTTATATTTTTCATTATTCTTTAGTAATAAATGAAAATGTAAAAACTACATGAAAAAGTCAATCTATATTAATATACAAGTAAAATATAAATTAAAATGTCAAACTATAAACATATCTTCATATAAAAAATAGTATACTGTAAACTAAATATGATAAATTTATATAATAAGAAATATGTGTGATACAATTGACGGTTCAAGAAACAAAAAAATAATTACTCAATGTAATAACTAAAACTAGATTTTCTTTAATTGTACAATAAACCTTATACTTTACTAATTTTCCTTTATAAACCATTTACTAATTTGATTAAACGAACAATGGGTGCATCGTGTTCTATAAACCAATTCTCCAATTATCTTGTTGCATTCAGTTGGTTGGATAAGACATTAGAATAAATCAGTCAATCTGGATTGTCATTGATATGTCTCTTTCCAAGGCGGAGCGTGGATCTGTCTACCTTCCTCCCTCTCTACGAGTTAAGGTATGTGTTGAAATAACTTAATCTCAACTAGTATTACTTTTTAAAATATATTCATCTCAGCTGATTATGTTTTTTGATTGTGGTCATGTTTTCTAGGCTATGGATAGAGCTGATATGTCTTCGATCAGTTCTCAGATTCCTAGATCTACTAATTGTCCACTACAGATCAACTCTTAGGTTGATTATTTTTTTATTTTGTCTTGATAATTTCATTCTTAAAACAATTTGTAGAATATTCAACAAATTTTGTGCCAAACCCGAAACTAAGAATATATTCCCGATGATCTTCTTGCCACCATGCATTAGTCATGACAATAATATCTCCTTTACCGGCTGTCATGACTATGCTTCCATTTCCAATCTATATTGGAACCTTAATACTCTTGTCAAGCCTTAAGAAGTAATTCTGCTCCTTTGTCATATGCTTACTTGCTCCACTGTTTACTAACAGACATCTTCCATCATTGTTGTTGCTTCACTCGCACTGAACAACATATGATCTTCATTAAAGTCTTCTTCTTTGAGACTTAAATGTGCTTTCTTCTTTTTCTTTGAGTAGCACTGATTTGCAAAGTGACCTAACTTGCCAAAATTATAACACTCTTTATTATTTTGGTAATCCTTCTGAGGATCATCCTTCTTCTGTTTCCTAAAACACCCACTCTCATTGTGATTGTTCTTCTTGTAGAAACCACACTACTTCTTTCCTCCACGGCGCTTTGAATTGTCTGATGTGACACCAGAATTTTTCTGTTTAACACAAGCATCGAATGCTCCTTCACTTGTGATTTCTTATCTTGCACCCAGATTTGCTTCATGAGTTTTCAAAATTCCGATCAACTCTGCCATCTTTGTTGAAGTCAAAACGCTTGTTTTCTCCAGTACACTGACTATGCTATCGAACTTGGCTGGGAGAGAGATGAGTATCTTTTGTATAAGTTGGATTTCTGACTTTTGTTCTCCATGATAAGTTAATATATTTGCCAAGGCAACTAAATTATTTGTAAAGACCTTGATGTCTTCATTCTCATACATCTCTAGATTTTCGTACTCCCTTTGCAACATTTGAAGTTGAATCAAACGGACTTGAGGAAAACCTTCATACTTTGCCTTCAATGCATCCCACACCTCTTTAGATGTTGTTGCTGCTGCAATCCGAGAGAAGATATTATCCGATACGGCAGTTTGCAAAATTTGCAAAGCCATCATATCGTTCACCATCGCTTCTTCTCAAAGCGATCTTACCCTTGTTGTCTCAGGGGTTTCATCCACTTGTGCTGGTGGAGTTCCCACACCTTCTTCAACCACAGACCATAACTTCCTGGTCTTGAGAATGGTTGTCATCTTGATGCTCCAAAAATCGTACTTCTCCCCATCGAATATGGGAATCACTTGATGTTGATTCCGCATGGTTTCGTGTTTTTCCAATAAACCGTATGCAAAAATCCTCTAGCCTCCTTTTCTCCACGCCAAGTGTTTCTCTTACTAGTGTTTTTTCGTTGTCCTCTCAACCGTAAAGCTCTGATACCATGTTAAACTTTTACCAACCGCTTGTCTTACACAAAGATCGATGTGTGTTACACACGAATACGAGAGAAAGAATAAGATGGAATTATTCCAGAAAGTTTCGACTGAATTAACTTGTCTGAAATTACTTAGATATTATTGAGATTCTGTGATATTGTTTACAACAAATGATTGACCTTTATATAGAGATCGAATCATTGCAATGTAAAAGGCACAACTCTTCATACAAAGACACAGTATGAAGAGTTACAACTTTTTGTGTAAATAATTAACTTATGTTAATGTATTAAGGAGATATTAGATTATATATTTTAGCATTAATAAGCTACTTCATGTGAGGAAGACTTTTTCAAAATTTCTAATTTCATTTACAAAGAATATATATTGATCCATTTTTCTTAATTACTTGACTTGCAAACAACAGATATTAATGTTGGTAACTGCATGAACTTGACGCTGAAGTTCGCTTAAATCAGTTTAAGATACTTCACTTTATAAAAGTTTCATCTTTGTATTCATTTTACATACGTGTTGGATCTTTTGAAGTCATGCTCATTCTTGGACTACCTGCAATAACGTGCATAAACCACTATGTACTGAATTTTTATTTGGCCTGATGAGGCAAGTTTGACCTCTGATCAACTTTATAATATGTGCAATGATTAATTTTTTGTGCTACAGGCGGAAAATGCAACCTCTGCTCTTAATTGCAGCAGTGTTGTCTTGGATGAGCTCCGTGTAAGGTGGGTTAATTACAACATTTTTACTTTTCTATGTTCTTTACTATAGTTTTTTTTTACAATGAGCTCATTCAGTTGTTGGATGCAGAATCAATGTTGCATGCTAGTTGTAGATATTAATAATATGATTCACATTATAACACATCCTTTCGAAATATTTCTTGTGCCTTGCTCAGTGAATGCAGGATTGTTGATTTGTATTCTGCCTTTGGTCATCTAGTGTTCTGATGATATTTCATGTGAAAAACAGGATTCATACATGACAGAGAACACACTTTGTTATTTTTTTTTCTTATGATTCTGTTTGGAGATATATGCATGGTTATTTCCAATGAGAACACATTTTGTTAGAAATCATATTTACCTATTTGTGTGTTTGAACTATTTTCTGTTTAGGTTGAAATCATGTGGTGTTTTAAAGTTGAACAAGACATAGTATGAAGCACATTGAGACTGATATTTTGCTATTTTTCTATGTGTGAAGGGTAAGCCAGTCGAAGACGCTAGTAAGGTCACACTCCTATGATTTTAACTAGAGTTTAATTACAGCCCGATCACAGAGATCATGTCAAGAAGAGAAAGAGAGAACAACTTATTTTAAGATATACTTAGTTGTTTTCTGTTCGTTAAACATCCTCTTGTTTCTTTACTTGGCAGGTCTCTTTAGATCCCTCATTAACTTTAACCTAGACTTTCTCCTTGTTCTATTGTTTTTGTTTTTTGGAAACCTCTATTTGGTTATCTTTATGGAACAATTAAAATGATATATGTTGGATACATGTCAATTCGTTTCACTGATAGTTTATTGTTTAGGTTTTAGTTGAGTCTATATGTTATGTGAAATAATATTTATTTTCTTGGTTAATTTTTCTCTACTTTTCCGTTGAATTGAT